AGAAGATAGATCAAGATGAACAAAGTCCAGATCTACAAGCTCCAATGCAACCAACACTTCTACAAGAAGTTCCTTCTTTTCCAAGGTGCACCATGCATACTCCAAAGCACTCAAAAACACATTCTTTTAGCTCACAAGGCTCAACTAGGGTTAGGGTTTTATGGAAGGGGTGTTGGAGAGGTGGAGGCTGAGAATGAAGTGGGTTTGGGGGAGTTAAGGAGCTTAAATAGGGCTCAAACCACAAAAATAAGGTTTGGGCACTAATTTCGTACGCGCAGCGTACTCAGGATTCCCTTAGTACGCCCAACGTACACCCCCTTGTACGCCCATCGTACTCAGCTTGACCTAAAACCACCCAAACTTCAAACAGTCATAACTTCTTCCTTTTAACTCCGATTTTGACGTTCTTTATATCCACGAAAAGGTAACAAGAAGCTCTACACTTATATCAACTCATTCTTGCCTTAAAACTATCCGAACAAAAATCCAAAATTCATAAAATCCCGAACTAACATCTTACGGAATTATACCCCTTGGCGCCAAAACATAGACCGAACTCCCGCATCATCCAAATTACATTACCCACACCCAAATGGGTCTAAATCCTTTGTTTTCCCAAAGCTCGAAGCCTTATGATACTTGATCTTCGGTTCACGGACCCGAATTGTGAAACGACCCGAAACAGGGTGTTGCAGATGACATTCTACATCCCCATTCTAACACTTACACATGGGTCATACAAGCTTGTGTGTGCTTTTCTGTATGCAGCCTATCAAGATACATGCCTCTGTTGGGTTTTTGGTTTGTGCTAGGACTCCAACATGCTCATACAAGTGTAACCACTTAAAGAGTATGAAAAGAGACATGGACAAGTGACTTGGGACGGGCAGGTCATACATATATCCATTTTGGATACATTTTATATTATACTTTAGTTTGTCTCAATATATGTAGTGTGTTTTCCCAAGTATTTACAAGTCTTTTTAGAAAGTGTTATGAGTGTAAAGGAAATGGGGTTTTATTACAAACTTTTAAGTGTTTGATGTTTTTTTTTTCTGAGGCCTGACTGCCTTGTGTAACTCAATAGACTTTGTAACATGATGAACTCTTTATCAAATGACAAACAAGGATAGTGAGTAGTTAAAGAATGAATATTACAGAAGATTGTATTATGTTCTATAAATAGCTAAACAATTTTGTTACATTTTCTTGAACTAAACAATGTTTTTGGATTTTTTTTTTACAGTTTGATTTTTTTTGGGACTTTTGCATATATTTTTTTAAGTTTTGACCTTTTATGGTTTTTAATATCTATTTTAAAATAGTCCTACGATGAATGTTACATATATCTCTTCTAGATTAAATCATTCGATCAATTTATCATCATCTATATAAATCGTTCTTTATTTACTATTTTCTTAAAACGATTGTTGTTTAAAGAGACATGTAGAAAGATAAAATAAATGTGTCCTTAATGCTATGATGGAAAATGGTTTATTCGATGATATATTTAGGAGGTTGTTGGACCAAGGATAAGGTCTACGAGTCGATCATGATATACAATATGATATACGAACTAATTATATATATATATATATATATATATATATATATATATATATATGGAAAAGTTCAATAGATAACCATAATTATTGGTTCTTTAAGGAACCAAATCTTTTTTTCAATTTCTAAAGCTTATTCTTTATCGAAAAAAAATCTAAAAAATATCTAAATTCATATATTAACATTGTGAATGTGAAAAATATTTTTCGGATTCACCGTATGAATCCGGATCACATTGTGAATTTTCAAATATTCACATTGTGAATTTGACGTAAAAAAAAATCGAATTTGATATCATTGAAAAAAGGATAAAAAGTTATGAATTTCTGTATTTTTAGTTTTTTTTTTGATAAAAAATAAGTTCTAAAAGTTGAAAAAAAGTTTGGTTCCTTGGTTCCTTGGTTAATTATGGTTCTCTATTGAACCTCACCCTATATATATATATATATATATATATATATATATATATATATATATATATATATATATATTCACACATTTCATTGAAATCTTTCAATTGTAATACTCGATTGAAGATGAGTATGATTAGATTCTGACTATTTTCTATGTCATTTGCTTTTATTGAAGTTTATAAATTTCAAATTGTAGTGATTTTAGTAAATTCGGTGTTAATGATATCGACTTTTTATGGTATTATAATCATGTTCGTCCTTGACCGACTAGGTACAATGTTATACAAGAATAATCAAAACAACCAGGATAAATCAAGTTTCAGGCGAGACATACTTGATATGCAAGAGATCGAGGCGTTTTGATAATGATATATTTGAAATTAATTCGAAAAGGACATTGAAGGATATTTTAGTTGTCATTAGTGGGTGCACCAAACCTATGAAGAATAAATGTAACATACTAAGGGGTCGTTTGATAGTTACTAACTGGGTTACAACTGACCGGGTTAGAAGGTTAGAAGTTCTAACTGAGTTAACTTCTGACCGAAACTTTTTGTTTGATTTTACATCCGACTGACTGTACAAAATGACTATATTACCCTCAAACAACATTTTTTTATAATAATTCATTTATGATTAACCATTTAATTTATAACATTACCGTGTAATTTACAAAATAGATATGTTATTTACAACCATTCTTAAAAAAAGATGCATATAAAAATATAAGACAATGACAAAATGATGTAATTTACAACTATTCTTTAAAAATATAACACTAGGATCATAAGCAAACAGTGTTATGATACATATAGTTAATCAATTCTAAGGTTTATACAACATTGATGGATCATACATACACCATTTCTCCAAACTTCATCTATTCTAGTCTAATCCAATCATCCACTACATCATATCATACAAAACTAAACACTATCGATACTTTCTACTTTTAATTTATACCAGTGATTTCTTGTTGATTTAATTTGTGGAAATATAACTAAAATCAGCTTTTAGGCCTCCATAACTATCTTTAACATGATATATGGTATCATAACCATAACCACTTAGTGTTAATCCTACATCTTCATATGCTTCTGCCATGGTCAACTCGTCCAAATCCAAAAGAAAATCAGCCTCATACTTATTGCTTTCCTCAAAACCAACATTCTTGTTAAGTTCATCTTTGAAGACAAGTGATAAACAATAAAAGATCAATCAAATTTCTGAAATCCATACACAAATAAGATGAAATTTATGCAATTAAATACACAAATTGCATCTAATTTCAGGAAATAGATACACAAATAACATCGAATTTCAGAAAATGCATACATATGTGCATCTAATTTCAGAAAAAAAAAGAAAAAAAAAACAGATGAAGAAAATTACCGTCGGAGTTGCAGATCGACCCTGGTGGAGGAAAGTGCTGGAGAGGAGGATGGTGTACTAGCGGTGGACGACGGCGTTGTTGAGCAGGGAAGGGTCGGCGTCGATGGAGAAACGAGATGGCGAAGGAAGAAGGCTGAGGCTAGGAAGGGAGCGTCTGTTAAGAAGAAATTTCATCAATCTTGTATGAATTGGAAGGAGGTCGGAGCTTCAGGAGGCGGCCCTGGAAGAGGTAGGTGAAGTCGTAGGGAGGAGAAGAGAGGAGCGACGCAGGTGATGTCGCTGATGCAGAGTTGGGCAAGGAGAAGAACAAGGAAACGAGAATGACAAGGGCAAATGATGGTTTTTTTCGGTCAGCTTCCTTTTTGCCATGGACCGAGTTAGACAAATTATCAAGACCGAGTCAGAATATTGGACTGGGTCAGACACAATTAGCCCTATATCAAACAGCCTGACCGGACCGAGTCAGCAAAAAGTACTGACCGGACCCAGTCAGCTCCTTACCAAACAGGGCCTAACATAGTTATTTGCTCATGTTTATTTAGATAATCCGATCCAAAGGGGAAAAAAAACAATTACTCTATAGATAACATTTATTGTAGACTAACTCATTTATTCATTCGACAAGTCCTTAGTCCTTACACTATACATCTACGCATATTGTAGTTTAGTACTAATACTTACATATAAAAATACCACATGTTTAAATAACACCACCTTGTTAAAGTTACGGGCATACGCCATACGGCCTAATCACATCCAATTTTAGTAATATAAATTCTGAATCCACAAAAGTTCAAGCATATTGATTAAATGTGGTGGGCTTCACATTTTCTTTTCTAATTTAAAACCAATCATTTTTAATGTTGAGGATTACAATGAGATCATGACATCAAGTAACTGAAATTCCTTGGCATAATCCTGCAATCCTTATCCATCTATTCCAGTGGATTTTTCAGAATGTAAAGAAACAATTAGCCATGAGTCTTCACATTTTGCCGATAATTTATAATCTACAATTCCAAGTAAACGACTCGTTTAAAACAAGAAATGAGATTTTTTTTCAAGAACCATCATTAGTTATGGTCGAATATCTATTTATATTGGGTGATTCATTGAACAAAAATGGAGTAAACTTGCTAGTTTCACTATATAACAGGGACCATTTATGTAATTTACTCTAAAAATATGATAAAAAGCAAAATAGAGTTGTAGAGGGGGATAAAGTAAACATACCTCACAATTATATCTCTGCGCCGTAGTTCCTATAGAGGAAGGAAAAGCCCATCGAATTCCAACGTCCTCTTCTGCTCTCTTTATAAAGCCAGCATACAGCATAATGTGGTGAGAACCACCATTAACCACTCTCTCTTTCTCTTTCTCTTTCTCTCTCTCCCTCTCTCCCGTCATCATCAAGAAACCCCTGTTTTCCATTTCACTTCAGTGGGTTCTCTACAACCCAAATCATTCACTCTTGTCCACTGTGTTCCCTTCCCAATCTCCATCTTCACTCATTGCAACGACACGCAAATCACCCGTTGCCCTTTTTACCTATACTTGAAAATGTGTTCCCATTTGTTTTTATCTTGATATCTGCTGAAACTTTTTCACTTCATTCACATCGATAGAGAGATCATGGACACTACTACAGGTAGGTATCAGTATAGAAATAGACCTGCGAGAGAGAATCATCCCTCTTTCTCATCTTCCTTGCTCGATGAGATCTACCGTTCCATCGATGAGCGAGATGACCGAGAGTTGATGGTTTATAGAGAAGCCACGAGGGAAAAACACAGCAGTTTCTCCATTAAAGACTGCTTTCATGATAATGGTGAAGTTCAACAACAGAGTCGGATTCAGAAATGGATGGACAAAGAAGTGCGCGAAACAGTTGTCGTTAGAAGAAGATCGGGTGCCGATTACAGAAGAAATTCTCAGCAAACCGAACGCGACTCCCGTTACTTCAATTCGAGCTCCAGCTCTTCCGATTCAAGCTGTGCCGGAGGTTTTTCTTCGTCGGAAGCTGAATCAGTTTACGGCGTATCATCAAGGCCTAAACCTATCCGTATAACCACGAATCGAAATGATGAATACAGCACGAGAGAGAAACAGAGGAACAGCCAAAAGTACCAACTCGAAGATTACCAATCAAAACCAAAACACGAAGGCAAGTTCGTGAGGACAAAATCGAGAGCAATGAAGATCTATGGCGACCTAAAGAAGGTGAAGCAACCGATTTCTCCAGGGGGTCGGTTGGCAGCTTTTCTAAACTCACTTTTCACTACAGGCAACGCGAAGAACACTAAGCTTTCATCCTCCTCCACCGGAGGTTACGACGACGCCATCGATCACATCGACAGAAAATCAAAATCCGCCAATGCATCAACATGTTCATCCGCATCGTCATTTTCTCGATCGTGTTTGAGCAAAACTCCATCATCCAGAGGAAAATTGAGCAATAACAAAATGAGATCTGTGAGATTCTACCCAGTGAGTGTGATCGTCGACGAAGACTGTCAACCCTGCGGACACAAATCGCTGTACGGAGAAGAATCAAATCTACCGACAATCAACTTTGTCAAAAATCCTATTACCGAAGAGTTTAAATTACATTCAACTGAGAAAACCCGTCGCATTGAAGAAGCTGCAAGGGAGTTGTTGAGGAATTACCAGAAAAAAGTGGAATGCGAGTTCGATTTGATCAAGAGCAATGTTAAAGGGAACAACGATATAAACATGAACTACGACGACGATGAAGATGACGATGCCGCCAGCCATACCAGCTCCGATCTTTTCGAGCTCGAGAACCTTTCTGCAATCGGAATGGAAAAATATCGAGATGAATTGCCGGTATACGAAACAACTCATTTGGATACGAATATAGCCATAGGTAAAGGCTTCTTCATGTAATTGAACAAAAAATTAGGTTATTGTTAGTTATTTTGGTGTGTTGGGGGGGTTTACGTGAAGATAAATTAGAAGTAAAATAAATTCTCTTTTTTTTGTTATATTTGAATTAGGTAAAAGGTATGTTTATGAAATGATGTTGTATTTCTTTTATCAATTTAGGTTGCAAAAATGAATTGCTCAGATTATGTAGTTATGTTTCAAGACCAGTAATTTATGCATTATTTTATTAAATAAAAAATTCATTTTGTAGTACAAAATAATTTTGTTACATAAATAAACTAGATTATAGCCCGCGGGAAACGCATAAAAAACATATAATTGTCTACAGATATTGCATAATGATTATAAAAAAAAATTATATGGTTATTGGTATTATTGAAATGTGTAGAAAATACATTGAAAACGATAAATATCTATAATCATTGAAGGATCTCTTTGTAGACAATATTTTTTTTTGTTTTATTAGTTGAACGACCTTCATCATCTCATATAGTTATAATATTGTTATATAATTATAAACATTTTAATTAAACATTCTTTCCATAATAAGGTTACTTAATTTAAACATATATTGACAACCAATATACCGTTTTTTCCACTGCATTAAATATTAACAACTATTTCATTTTTTTAAATAAAATCATATAATATAATTTATAGAATATTAAATTGTATATGGATTTAATTTTAGTATATCATCAATGTAGATTCTTTTCTAAATCATGACTGGTTTAATTTAAATTGATTATGAATATAAGTGCTAGCTTTTATGTTTGTTCTTATTTATTTGGTGTTCGCAAGAACTTTGCATTAGTTTTGGCGCAACTTTGAATAATTTTAGTATATCATCAATGTAATTTGGTATATCTTTAAATTATATGAAATATCAAATAATGACATTTCATTACTATTGTGATAATTTAGTTTATATATTGTATTTTTACTAATCTTAACGGTCTTATTTTTTTCTAATAACCATAACACTTTTACTAATTGTACTTTTTACAAATCTCCTAAAATATCTTATAAATTTTATCTTACTTTATAATTTTTCATAACTATATTATTTTCAAGATTAACTGTCTTAATATTTATTTTTCCAGTCTATTCAATTTTATATTTCATTGTACAACATCATCGTTTGTATGTATTCTGAAATTTCACTTTAAAAATGCTTAATGTTTACACCTTGATATTAATTTTTTTTAATAAACTCGTGTAATAATTATGGAATATATATCTCGTTTTAATTAACATTTACTTCCTTCATTAAATCAAATTCCTCATTAAACAAATATATTTTTGGAAAATAATAATTATAATGGGGCAACATTATCTAAGACGTAAATGTTTGATATACTTTTGGAGGAAAAAAATCAGGATCATTAAACAATTTTATATAAAGAAAATACAAATTTAAATTTGGTGAAATTATGGATGAAATTAATGGCGAAAATTATTTTGGAGGGAGTTGTATTTTGTAAGGTATAATAATATTACAAAATTCGAAATATGTATATTTGTTGTGTAAATTTATAAATTTTATTGTTACTATATAAAGATAAAAAAAATAGGTTGGTATGATATACAAAAACATAACAATTTCAATGATATTTTAAAATCATGCCAAAATTAACCGGATTCTTATGACATAAAAATTAAAAAAAAAAATCATAATCATCTCTAATATATAAAAGTAACATTTTCGTAATTAATGTCAGTTCCCAAGATAGTTAATTTCTGTTTTGTTAAAGGTATGTAATATCTTTTCCTGTTTATTTGAAAAGTTTCAGAAAAGTAGTTAACTGATTTCATGTAATTTGTGACAAAGAAAATCGAAATATATGAATACATATCTTTGATATAGGAACAAAAAAATAATCGAAAAAAATATAAAAAGCGAAAGAAGGTACTGACCTTCTAGTGCACAAGAGCGAATGTTTGAAGCAGAGAATGATGATGTAAGTTATAAGCAATACGAATGATGTTGTACGAGAAGGTTTGAAGAAAATAAACAATTGAAAATAAGTGTGAGCCGCGGATTCAATGATGAATCGTATATGTATGTGATAATTTGAATATGATTTTTGGTATTAATGATTTCCTAATATAAATAGATTTTATATTAATGGTTTACTAATATAAACGAATTTATATTAATGGTTGATATTAATGTCTTGATTGAAATGATTTGTTAGTAATATGCTTTTAAAATTGACCATATTAAAATCTTCACAACCGGAAATTCAAGATTTAAAATATGAAAAGTTTTTATTGGAATTAAATACATTTCATTTCAACGAATGTAAGTTATTGTTTGACGATTGGAAAACATTTATTGGAATTAAATAAACTCCATATGGGGAAGATGATGTCAGCAATTTGATCTAAGGGTAAAAAAAAATAAGATTGAAATACAATAAAGGGTTCAGATTATTTAAGATGATGCCATAAGGTTTCTCTTTTAATAATATTTAGAGATGATTAACCTTTTAGGATCCATTAAAAATACTCGCGTTTATTATTTTATAGTGTTTATGTGCAGTCATTTAGATAATATGTTACTTATTAACACATCATCAATGATAACACATTGTAAAAAACTCATTTTGTTCAGATAGAAGATATAGTGATATATCCATTAGAATTAAGGAAAATAATTCAAGAGTGTAACTAACTATTGATTTTGTTTATATCCGGTCCCCTTTTATTGTATGCAATATACCATTGCACGAGTTGTTTGTGTTCACCATAACCATTTTGATCGACTATTGATTTTGTTCACATTTGGTACTCTTTTTTTTTGTATCCAATATATCATCGAACTTATTGTTTGTGTTCACCATAACCCTATAGTCTGTCAAAAGGGTTATGGTGAACACAAACAACAAGTTCGATGATATATTTCGTACAAAAAAATGACCAAATTTGAACAAAAAATCAATAGTTGGTTACCTTTATGAGTCATTTTCATACAAATAAAATCTACATCTTTCAACTTTCCGCTATCAATTGATTTGCCCAACAACTTTTCTAAGGCAGGTAGGTGTACTACTACCGCAACCCCGAGGTATGCCCACCTGGCACTACGGTGGGTGTTATAACACCATAATGGTTGATGTTTTCTGTGTGGTGCTCATCACCGTGCGATACAAATGCCCCGCACCTTCTATCTTCTCTTCGTCCGCTGATTTTCATTTACATATATAAAGTATTTTTAAATAAGCGAGATGTACAAGCTAGTAATGCAAGAAAGTGAGAAGTAGTGAGAGGTGCTTATTTCCTTATAGTTAAGAGGGTGAGAGGAAAATGGTGTGGCACTGATGTGACAACAAACAAGAAATGGGGAGTGGGTACACCCACCAACCTAAAAAATTATCACGAAACATAAAAAGTTGCAAACTATATTTGACAATAAGTTTGGAAAAATGACTCATGAAGGTAACTAACTGTTGATTTTGTTCACATTTGATCATTTTTTTTACGCAATATTGTAATTGGTTGTTTGTGTTACCATAACCTTTTTAACCAACAATCACATGTGATAGTCTGTCAAAATGGGTGAACACAAACAACAAGTTTGATAATATGTTGCATAAAAAGACCAAATATGAACAAAATCAACAGTTGGTTACCATACTTAGTCATTTTCCCTTAGAATTATAAGGTGGTTTAAACAGGAAATAATATATCTCAAATATGTATTTTATTATGTAATATTGAACGTGAACATTTATATGAAACATGAGATTATTTTTTGTGAAACAAATTAATAAACACTATACTTTATAAAGACTTAATTATATATAAAAAAAACCTTATATATTACTTTAAAGAAAATCTTATATTTTTCTTAGTTTTATTTGGCCTTTTCGATAATCTTTCGCTTTTATATAACTACTAGGCGAATGTCCGCGCGTTGCGCAGAAGCATCTATATAGCTGAAATCTTTACAAATATATGTTTTTTTAAATATAACAATAATGTTGTTAAATTTGATATAATAATTCGCATACTAAGTTGATATAATATATTGATTATTTTGAATTATATGATAATATATACATCTATTAAAACTGCATAATTTCAATCTTTTGAATGACCTCTACCCGCGGGTTACTCATGAATAAAATTAAATATAATATATGGTTTAATGTTATTTATAGTTGTTGTTATTGTTAATTAATTTTTTAAATTTAATTTGCTTAACGTTTTAATATCTATCATTGTAATTATTTAAAATATCAAACAGTTTTTTTGATTTTAAAGGTGTAACAATATAATCATTTATATAGAGTTATTTTTAACTATTGTTATTGTAAGTTATTTTAAGCTACTTATTTGAAAACTTTTCACGATTATAAAAATATTTTAGTTAAATTGATATTACAATTTAGTTTTTGCATTTAGCACGATAATTTATCACTTTTAAGTTAACTATTCACAAAATATTCTTTGGGTTTTTTTAAGTGGAACTGAAAATTATATTGAAGTTGACCTTGTAATGTTATATTTAAATTAACAATTTAAGTATTTTGTCCAAACTTTTCAAAAGTTGTAGCTTTAAACTGATAATGGTTTACACACAACAATATATTAAATATAACAAATTAAGTATAATATGTTAAAAGTTAAAGGCATAACTTTATAAGTAGAAGTAAAAATATTATTTTAATATTAAAATTTAGTTTATTTATGATTACACTTTAGGTTTGATACTTATTTAACCTTGTTAACCAACTTATAATCATTATTAGAAAGACACTACAATTTATCACATTTAACTATTTACAAAATATTCTTTGGGTTGTTTAAGTTGAACTAAAATTTATATTTAAGTTGATCATGTAAGATTATATTTAAATTAACAATTTAAGTATTTTATACAAATTGTTCAAAAGTTGTAGCTTTAAAATGATAATGGTTATTAAACCTAATAAATTAAGTATAATATGTTAAAAGTTAAAATCATAACTTTATAAGTAGAAGAAAATATATTA